AGGGAAAAGAGTTTCGTAATCTCTTCTGATTTTAGATCTGTGCGTAAACAGAGCTTTTTCAGTTTTATTACATTTCTTTTCCGCGTGAACGTTTTTATTGACATTAGAAGAAAAATTGATTTGTTTGTTTATCTAGAAATCTAAAAAATTGATATTGCTTATTTATCTGACAGAAACTATGTGCAGTGGACAGCGAATCAATCTTGATAGGATTTATTTCGAAAATACTCGATATATCAATAACTCAAAAAAATTTGCAGCCATAACTTTTTCTTTCAACAGCCGTTTCCTTGGGGCGATGGCAATCACTCGTTGTTCCATAATCCCGTGAAAAATCCGGTGCCGCCGCATGGCTATGAAGTCGAAGATCCGAATGCACCCAAGAAAAAATGCACCAAGAAAGCGGGCAAATAGCAGAAGTGTGGGAATAGCTTGATCCTGCTAGCTGACAGCTGAAAATAGCGGCGAGAGGAATATGGTGGCTCGCCTGCCCGACATACAGCAGTCGTTTTAATTTTTAATCGGTTCTTGTCGCTTCAAAAAAAGTGAGAGGGGGAGGGGGCAGATCAGACGTGAAATATTAAATCTTAATTAGATCAGAGCTCTCGCATAAAATGGTCGTAAGTTTATTATTTTTATAGCGCACGATCTCATGATATTTATTTATTCGAAATTACGGGAAATAATTGTTTGAAATTACTGTAAAAAAGTTTCAATAAAAAGATTTTCGGAGTCGCTCTGTTTAAAATTATTTCTCTTATGTTAGTTTACAATATATCTTTCGTTATTTAAAATGTGTGTCTTTTTACATGCCTATTTTATCGATTATATTTCGTTCTTCTAATCACAACTATATCAAATTGAAATGAATGAAATGAAAATATAAAAGAAACAATTTTGATTTTTCACAATTTCGAGATTTCAAAAGGTGTAGGTCACGGAGATATCGGTCGGGGATGAAAGTTCGGAACGGGTCTCGAAAGACGGATATTTTCGAGACATCTCGTTGTCGAATTAGAGCGACGGTGGTTCCGCGGAAGTTCCGGAAGGATTCAGGTGACTCCGACGGAGACGCGCACACCGGAGTCGCGGCGTCGCGACGCCGTTTTCGGTCTCGCCTTCTCGCGGGGGGTTCGCCGGCGCGCGAGTGGCGCAGCTGGTCTCGCGCCTTCTTGGCCGTTCGGGGGCGATCAATAGACCGGGTGGCGGCGGAGGAGACGGCCGACGGTGGTTGTCCGGGCAGTGGCGAGTTAACCACCCCGGCGTCACATTTCTATTATCTAACAACAATCTCCGGTATCACGTCTCTATTATCTAGAAACGATCCCCGACGTGATCTCACGTATATCCGTCATGCGGATAGGGGAGGGAGGGTGGAGTTATCCTGGAACTGTCATCGCGGAGTCGTCACGGCTCTCTCTCTCTCTC